GCCGTAAATACCTGAGTAGTGCTTGTTGGGTATCCACGACACCTCGGACTGAAACGACAAAGAAGGAAACCAATCTTTAGCAAACATCTGTTATTTTGAAGCATGTAAACCATCAGCTGGCTGATGGATCCGGTGTAACTATATATGAGCTGCATTCTGTGCGTGGGCTAACACAAAGCTACATTCAGAATATTTTGGCGACGGCTCAACGTGGGTTTTTTTTCTGAATCTGCAAACAGTGTCTTTTAATGAATTCTCTTGATTCAGAGTAATTGGATCTGCATAAGTGCATCATCTGCAAATATAATCAGCTTAGAGTCTTGTCTGTTTAATGTGAGTTAATGGAAACTGAAGAGAGAGACTGCAGGTCGAAGCATCCGACGGCACAAAGGACTCATTGTTCAGCACAAAGACTGTGAGGGAGGAGAATGTGATGATGTGAAGGAGGGGGATGCAGGTTGGATACGCACACTCGTTCCTCACATTCCCGTCACTCTGAGAGCACATTCATCAGCTCCATGTTAAAATAAATGATTTGGTGTGTTTGTGCTGAAGTGTCACTTGACTTTGAGAGAAAAGTGCTTAAGCTCAGTTACAGATTGTTGAGTGAAAACATTGTATTCAGGTGATCGTCTCGGTTTTAATTTTAAGGAGCTCGATGTACAAATAAGAATTAGTGAGATGAAGTCTGTGATCAAGACATTACATTGGTTTTTGAAAAATCACTATATTTTCATTGTTACTGTGTCAGAGAGACATCCATCACACCTGTACGATAGAGGGATGGAACGAAATACGATATCATTGTTTCATGGAAAGCTCTCTGTAACTGCAACTACAGGAACCATTGTCTCAAAATACCCAAAAAGGCAATCCCGATCTACAACGACCCCACCCATCCTCTCCACCATCCGCAATAAGAACCTGTTTAAATGGGCCCCATAGAACTTGCCTGTCCCCCTCTGAATATGCTCAGATGGTTTGACTTGGACTCAAACTGGAAGAAAAAAAAAAGTAAAGGTAGAACCGCTAACTGCTGTTAGGTCGTTAAGAGCTTAACAAGGTCTGTGCCGGCTCCACTCTACACTCTGAGGTTATTTAAGAGGCTGTGATATTGTCTAATTGGACTGTACTGAAAGGTGTTTCTAACATTCTGTCCAAGCATATTAACTCAAATAGAGGTGGACAGAACATCAGAAATCTCAGGGGTGGATGTTAATTAGTTAAATATTTGATGTGAGCTGCGACCTCCCTTTGATTCCTCCCACCTTGAATCTGGTTGTCAGTGTAAATGGAGGCTAAGCTGAACATTGACCCTCCACCACATCCTGCATTAACATCCAGTTAACACCGCGGCAGCTTAAACAACCCTCTGATCTCTGTTAAAGTGACACATCGTCTGACAGATGCACAAAGACGCCGGCTGCGACCTCCTGTTTCAGGATTCGTGATGCGTGTGAACCGTGCAGTCTTTCTCTTGATGTCTCTCGCTCTTTGATGCTCCGAGGTGAATCTCTTATGTTGGAGGAGATTTATAAATACATTTAAACTCCAGAGATTTTCCCTTTGATATGCTAACTGCGTTATTTGACTTTGACTCACCTTGTCCTTTTGGAGAGCGGGAAGGGTGGTGCGTTTGAGGCGAGGTGTGCATGTGTGTGCGTGTTAATGGCGTCCTCTTACCTTGAGCTCATCTGCGTCGTAGAAGCTGACTTGCACAGACGGGACCATCCAGGACTGAAACAGGGAACTCAGGATGCGATTGGCTACCGTGTCTGTGATGAAATGAAAGTGAAGAGGATTTCTCCTGAAAGAGAAAGAGACAGTTGTTATCATCAGTGTCCTCATTTACCAACAACAAAAGCTGTTTTTTAATATTAAAGCTGCAGTTGGTAACTTTTGTGAAAATAACTTTTTGTCAATGATTAACCTAATTTACCCAAGTTACCTTAACAATAAGTACTTCTACTTCGAAGAAGGCCGGTGGTGTTGGTGTATTTTATTGTATTTCCATATCTGTAGTGCTTAAGATACTGAAATCTGTATATTTAATGACACTATACATGTAAAAGCCCAACTAGGGACAGGAGTCGATTGCTAATGAATTAGTAATAAACAATCGTCAGTGTCATGCTCTCTACTGAACTATGTTAAATTGTCCCTGTCAACTAAATAAATTCAATTCAAGAACATCCAGTTCATTCTAAAACCAGCAGCACATCAAATTTAATAAGAAATAACTAAACTGTTTAAATCTTTGAAACCATCATTAAAAAGTTACAAATCCACGAGAGCAAAGCTGATTGAGGTTAGTGGAAATCCAGAAAACAGCAACACAGTGAGTCTGGGAAATGAGGCATAGTTTTTGTCTAAGAGGAAATATAACCTATAAGCATGTTCTGCATTAAAAAAATAATCTGGTTTTAATAAAATATATCTGTGTCTTAATAAGATATTACAGCTAATACTGAGCTGTGTGTTCACTGATGACACACAAACAGTACGGTTTGTATAGTTGTCACCCTTTGAGGTGGGAGGGGAACTGATTGTTGATGCTACAGAAAGTTTCATCAAAGGTCATCCTTTTCTTTTCAATATCTCTCCATCTCTGATACTATTCAAGGATTTTCAAGGCCTGCACAAATCCAGCTTACGGCCATGTCAGCTTCAAAGAAAGACTCAAGAAGCTGCATTTGAGACAAGTTTATAGAGAGACAGAGGAAGAGATCAAGGAAAGGTCTGTGAAATGAACGCTGTCCAGCTGGGACTCACCTGTGAAAGAGGACAGATTTGACCAGAGTGACCACGTCCCTACTGGCGTTGTGACCGGCACAAACGCACGCGACGTGGATGAGCTGCGGACACAGAGAGGACAAGTCAGTCACCTCATCCGTCTACACTTTTACATTCTGGGTGCTGACAACTTTCATCACAAGTTCACAGCGTCCTCCTCTCCGTCTCAGTTTTAGCAGATCGTAATGACAACATGCAACCGCAGCCATCAGTTCTCACACCTTACTTGTGAATCTAAAAAAATTAAGCTCATTTTTGGAGATAGAAGCGCGCCCCCCCCGACGAGTTTACATAATCCCGGACATTCTCTCTGATGTGGAATTTCATATTTAGCTCCTCAGATATGTATGATTTCATGTCACTCGCTTTTTCGGGAGCAGAAGTCTTTGAAAAGTTGGAGCTCAAAGGCTGGAAGCCACATCAAAGAGTGAGGGCGTTCCTCGGATTTTAGTCCCTGTCACCTCACTCCCGGCTCCCCCATCGATTAGTCTGCTGTGATATGGTCCGGTGCAAAAACACACACCTTCCTCTGACCGTATTTCACTCCCAGGTCGTCAAATGCTGCCTCTCGGTCAGTGGCCCAAAGTAAGGGGCTGTAGGTATCTCAAGTCAGGTGACGTAGTACAAAGAGCGAGAAAGTCCACATATGGACACTTTAACTTTCCTAACCAAGTGCTTTCTGTGCCTAAATCAAACTGCCACTGTTTTTTAAAGTTAACCCAAGCATCAGCCTCTGTGGCTGCAAATGAAGTCAACAGCAAGAGCAGTTCCTCTAACGTCCACTAGAGGCTGGCTCCAGCAGTGAGTCAGTCTCCATAAGGCCCCATATTAAACTGTCTTTACAGCAGAATAAACATGTTTACAGTCTTTTGGTCTCTAGAAGTAATAGTTCAAATAGAAATCTGTACAATTCACCTATCAGTCTTCATTCAGCTCCACCTCTTTGCCCATTTTTGGATTAGCCGAGTTTGACAACGACTCCAGAAGCCTGTTGGGGGGATGTCACGGAGACTACGTCTATTTCTAAATATACAGTATATGCAGTACCTGCGCAAGCTTTATTTTGGAGCTCTGCGGCAGTACTTGATAAGTCAGGAGTGAGAACATCAGCACGGCTTCTATCTACTGTATAAATGTTATTCAGCATAACCAGATAATAACACTGTCAGGTGAGACTGACGACACACTCTGAGGTGATTGAACCACTTTTACTTGTGTTCTTTGGCGTACTGATACACCTGGAGGACCTGAAGACGTATTAATACACCTGGAGGTGTCCTGATACACCTGGACGACCTGGAGGTGCATTGATACACCTGGAGGACCTGGAGACGTATTAATACACCTGGAGGTGTCCTGATACACCTGGAGGACCTGGAGGTGTCCTGATACACCTGGAGGACCTGGAGACGTATTAATACACCTGGAGGTGTCCTGATACACCTGGAGGACCTGGAGGTGTCCTGATACACCTGTTAGCAGCTGTTGTGTTTTCCTGACCTCACACTTCTGGACGGTGGGCGATCGGGGACACTCCGTGTGGTTGTTCTTCTCCTCCGCCGTGTTGTCGCCGTCCTCCTGCCCCGTGTCCGCGGAGGCTCCCCACTGCTGGTTGCCGTAGTTACCGTCTGGTGGCTGGGCGGCGGTGCCTTGCGATTGGCTGAGCTGTAGCCGGATCTGCCGGTTCTCTTCCTCCACCTCTCGGACCCGCGACTCCAGGACGGCTCGCTCCAGGACCCGGGCCGCCGGCGTGTCAGCCAGACAGGGAGCCAGGAGGAGGGAGCGGCCATCTGGAGGGGAGACAGGGGGAGGCGTGAATATTTACGGTTATATTACTTTGGTTACTCTCAGCTGACAGGAAGTGTGAACTGTGGCTGCTGACGGTACAAACAGGCAGACAATATGTGAGCGACGTGTTCTCGAGAGTCTCACACTTGAAAATTGGTTCATCACACTTCTTCTCCTCCTCCTTCTCCACCTCCCTCCATCCCTCGCTCCTTTCTGACAGAGTGGGGTGTGAACAGTGACGCAGGGCGGGAGAGCTGCTTCTGCTTTCAATACATCTGAATAAAGAACTTATTCTTGAGGCCTCATTTAAAAATAAATGAATATGAGTCTGAATATATGTTTAACACTGTGCTGTGTAAGATCTGATGAACAGATTATAGATTATAGGTTGTTCATTGCCTGGAAACTCTCCTTTATTTTATTTCTTTATTTGTCTTTGGTTTTTATCGAGTGCAGCAGGGACGTTAAACTCTCTCTTTCTTTATCTCTAATCTCTTCTTCCTTCCTCCGTCTTATTTTCTCCCTATCATTTGCCATGTCCCTCCCCCTCCTCCTCTCTCTCTAACCCTATTGAAGCAGCAGCTGGCCCACAGCTGAAGTGAGGCATGCTGGGAATGTTCACACCCTCATCGAACGGAGACGACAGCGCGCACGCGCACACACACACACACACACACACACACACACACACACATAGGCCTATTTACATATTTACACACTCTTTATAATCTATATTTTATATACAGCATATATTCCGCCCTCTCTCCATAGCTCGGCACAAAAGGTTTGTTACACCTTCATCCTGAACCTATAAGTGACACATTTTAGAGATATTTCTTATTATATTCAACAAATACAGAACAGCTGATAAACTGAACTAATAGTGAACACAATAACTGCAGGAGGTTTGTCTAATACAAGTGATTTGGATGATTTTTGAGATTATTTCCTGTGAATATTGCATTATAGATGAGATTTTTAGGATTTTTTTAATACAATCCTCCGTTTGAATTCTGTTTATTATGTTAGTATGTTTATTTGTACTACTCATACAGACTTAATAGGCTAATTTCATCTTTTAAAATATTCATTGTTTTCTTCTTCTGATACTTGGAGCTCAGTGAATACAGCTTGTGTTCAGGTCGTCAAAGTTTCTGTCTCCAATAATAGTTAAAACAATAAGAATTTCATTTGTTTTTCTTCACATAAATTAATCAAAGTCTGACATACAGGCCTGTTGTATATATTCTTTTGCTTTCACCCCTTAAAACCAAGACGGGAACCACTGCGCTGCAGGAAAGGCTCCTTCTTGAAGCACAATCATACAGCCAACAGAAACCATCATAAATGGAGGACATTTTACTAAAAAAGTACAACCCTCACGTCCTCGTAGACATTCCCAGATCACTGCAGTGGCCTTAAACCTTTGTTGTTGTGTTGTTGTTGTTGAAGAAGAATTCACATCCTTCCACAGTAGAAATACTTTAAAAATAAAATGCTGCAGTATAATTTAAGGTCCTGCATTCAAAAATTAAATGAAGTAACATTATTATTTGCAAGAGTATAAAAGGAGCCACAGTGCAGGAAATAACTGACTGTTTATCATTATTTGTTCTATTGGATTATTCTTATGGATGCTTTAACATATAAACAGACTTCAATGCTTTTATACACTTACTGTAGGCTATTTAAAGCTGCAGCAGGTATCTTTTATAAAAATAACTTTATGGTACAGATCTCTGTTAATTTATCTGTATTTTTATTATAGATGTTTATTTATTTTTATTTATTCTATTCAATAATCATCAATTTGTTTCTGTAACGCCTTCATTTAAAATCAGGTTCCTGGGAGGAGCCAGAGGAACCTGATCTTTCCACACATTATCTGTCTCATGTTTTACTGTCAGGATGCAGAGAAAGTTTCAGCAAATATGACAAAAACATTTTTTAATCTATGTTACATTTCTATATTAACTGTTTAGTAGCATTAGGTACCATAGTACAATTGTTCATAACTTTTTTATCCTCATTCTAACCCTTGTGAAACATGCTTCGGAAAGACTGTCTGAATGTAGGACGAGACGGAGAGCGAAGGAGTCAGAGGAAATCCGACCTGAGACGACAGATGTGACTAGAATCTGATCCGCAGTCAGTCGGTCGGACAGACGTGTAGCAACAGAAGCTGCTGGTTATTTCTGAAGCGATGTGTCGATGCTCACTCCATCACGGACACACAGCACCGAGTGTGGATCCTGTTCTCCCGCTCCGCTGGCCTCAACGTATACGTCAAATACTGAATGTATGACCAACAACTGTGTGTGTGTTTGATATGTTAGGAAACATATGCAGCCGTACGTCACACTGTACTAAAAAAACTAAAAGTTTTATATGTGAGATATAAAACTTTCATATAGCAGCAACCCAGTGATTGTTGGAAAAACTAATGGTGAGACAGTTTGGTGAGTTTTGTTTCTGTGCAGTTTGAAGTGTGTTTTAGGAGATTGGAAACTGGTTTTGTCAATGGAGTCTGGTGGGCCGTAACCTCCTTTAGTTGTCTAGTGGTAAGTGAATTCTGTATATATAAGCTTTAAAGGGGATAACATTATTTACGTCATCAGAACAGGGAGGGCAATTAGGACGTGTGTGTGTGTGTGTGTGTGTGTGTGTGTGTGTGTGTGTGTGTGTGTGTGTGTGTGTGTGTGTGTGTGTGAGTGTGAGTGAGTGAGTGAGTGAGTGAGTGAGTCCAGGCTCGTTGTATGTCGACTGTCTCCATCACCACAGAAATCAATAGAAACACCACAGGGTGCACATGGATCAGAGGAGACTAATCCCTTCATTAATAAAACAGAAAAGCACTGAAACACCATAAAGCATCTGAATAATTAAATCAATGAAGTCACCAGGTCACCTACTTCTGAACGCGTCTGATGGAAAGACACAGATTCATATTTTATTTTGCCTTAAAACGCTCGAATGGAAACGTGATCAGAGCTTTCTGTTCCTGCGTCTGTTGTCACTAGTCACTACAACAGCTTTTCCAGACTTAATCAAATGTTTTTCTCTCATAAATGGCAGTAAACACGTTGGGATGCTACTGAAAACATATGCACAAGAACTTTCTGCTGAACGAACGATTGGAAAGAAAATGAAGACGGTTTAATTCTGAGTAAACAAGAAAAGAAATCTGGAAAAGCAGCTTGTAGCCTGTAAAATGAGCTCAGGCTGGTGTGACTTTCTGCCTGTGTGTGTGTGTGTGTGTGTTATAAAAGCTCTTCCAGGAAAGAAACATGGCAGCATTGTGGCAAAGAAATTCTCCGAACTGACTTCGACTGATCCAAACAAAAGCGCTGACTGCGGCTCGCTGACGTGGCCTCAGTGGCTGTCTGGGACGTCAGAGTGAAAAATCAAACCGAACAGAAAATAAGCTCCACATGTTTAAAAATTAAACTTAATAGTCGGATTGAAGAGGAATTGAGCTGAGTTGCAAAAAATGGCTGATAATTGATGTTTTCTGTTCTCGCCGGTTGGATCCCTGAGACTCTATCTGATCCAAACCACAGCTCCACTCTTTCATTAGAAAGCAGCTTCCAACCCAATCGCCATGAGCTTTATTACACAGAGAGAAATGTCTGGCAGAACTCGACCCGGGTCCAGTGTCTGAATGTACTCACTCTCCAGGTTTCCAGCCAGCAGGTAGAGCCAGGTGAGCAGGACGATGGCCGTGAGAGACGCCACCAGCAGCTTCAGGCGCCCGCGGCACAGCAGGTTCATGATGGGACGGCGGCGCTGAGGGCTCTGAGGGTCGGGGGTCAGGGGGGTCAGGAGAGAGGAAGGGGGAGGGAAGGGGGAGGTTCAGGTAGGGCTCAGTCCCTCGTCGGGTCCCTGCAGCATCATTTCATCTGAAGAGAGACAAATGCAGAGTCAGACAAACAGACTGAGCTACAAAAATATCCATCTGAGCAGATAATGTTCGTCTCTTATTGATTTCGACAAGTCTTACTTTCTTCTGCCAGAGCAGAGAGATCGTTAGAGATTCCAACACAACTCTCTTTGGTCTATTATCAGATTATGTCGGTCCAACATTTTAGACCCAATCTGAAACAGACCAGTGGAAAACCTCCCGAAACTCATCATGCAGAAATCAAAACGGTCAAAAAGGGACCAGAAGACAGATGAGCCCGTTCTCGTTCCCAGGTCGTCAAATACAGATGTTTTGTTTTGTTTTGACTGGTGTTGCGTCACATGACTTGTTCCTGCAGTAAGGCCAAAGTAACTTGTATTACTTAACGTACAAATCATGATTTTTCCATCCATCCTCCACTTCGGGAATCTATTCTCCTACACGGAACTAAACTGTGACAATTTCACAACGTTCACCACGTGTTAAAATGGCGCCTCACGCAGTCGCTAAAAGCTACATTGTGTGTCCGTATGAGGCACTGATGGGCGTTACAAAGCGGTACTTGAAGACCTGAGATGAGAACGTGTTGGTCAGACCTGATCCATACAGACCAGAGGATCATTGGGTCTAAAGTAGTCAACAGATACAGCACTACTCAGGTCCCAGGGTTCTCATGAAGACTTCCAGTCCAGTGCATGAGGGTCAACTCGGTTAAAACAAACCATCAATGAGTTTTTAAGAGATTTTCATGTTTCATTCTAAATCCGTCAGTAAATACCTGAATGTTTAAAAGCTTATATGTGTCTTATAAAAGGTGGTCGCTAACAGGAGGTTAAATGAGACTACAGAGGTTGTCGGTGGAACAAAATGTTTAAGTATCATCAACCTTTGTTCACCACAGAGCTTGTTTCCTGCAATAATGAAGAAATCCCATTGGGTTTTTGTCAAAGGAACCAGGACAATGCTAACTTCCAGACTGGATTACACAAATGCGTCATCCCTGCAGCTCTCTATTGCACACATTAGATATATTAACTTGATAGAGGAGTGAGTTCTTACCACCTTTAATCACCATATTAGGGACAATAACAGATAAAAGACCTTCAATCTCATTAAAATAACAAATATGATATTCTACAAGATCAGTTTAGATCTGGTTGAAACTGTTTCTCTGTAACACTTTGTCCACCCACAGTACAAACGCTGTTTAAAACACACAGCTTCAGGCCTGGACTCACTGTCACTGTGCAGAGGAGCTCAAGTGATGGAAATAGTTTGAGTCTAATGAGGCTGACCTGAAGTGAAAGAGGGAATCAATAAAGTCACATTTGTAACATGGAAACATTGAAACCTGAAAAGGAGAAAATCCAGAACAAGCTGTAACAGCTTTCTAAACCCTCCCTCTGACGGTCTGAGCCGGCCTCCCTCTGTGTGCTGAGACAATGTGATTCATTAATCCCACTTTAATTAGACTGAAGGAAACAAGACCAGAGGCCGCCGCCAAACAGAAAACAGCAGAGTTTACAGCAGCGAGACGCAAACTTTTAAGCTGAATCCACACCGAGTTAACAAGTTTCATTTGATTTCTGTCGGCTTTTGGGATAAACGCAGCGCTGGCACGCTTCGGCAGCTGAGAGGGAACAAAACTCTGACAAATGTTGAAGATTAATGATGGATTCAACAAACTGTAACCCTAAAAACAACAGAAAAATACTGAGAACGTCCTGCTGAGTTTCCCCCTCACAAATTCCATGTTTAACACATTTATCACCTGATCAGTTCCAGATACAGGCACGTTTTATTTTTTAGATTTCACACATAAAATGTCAGAAAACACATTAAACAGGCACATTTGTATTGTTGAAATATGCAAAAATTATTCGTCTTTGTAATATTTGCTCAGCCAGCGATGTCTGAAACTTTATCCATCGAGCTGAATTCAAAGCAGTGAAAATGCCTGCAAATTGCACATATTTGTATGTTCAGCTGAACTCCTTTGAACTGAGTAAAAGACTCCGTTGGATACAGAGCAACAAAGTGGAATTAATTAGTTGGAAATGTACCAAATGAACTCTGCGTCTGCATTCATAGTTCTTTTTGCTCAACTTCCAAAGTTATTATTACAAAATTCCTGTAAAGTGTCACAAAAGAACTAATATCCCATCATATCTAAATTATTTATTTTCAGTTCTCTGTTTCATTGAGAGGTAAAAATCTCATCAGACAAAACTAAACACTTTAACGGACTGGCCTTGTGTATGTGGGAGATTTATGAACGTTATGATTATTTCTGAGGACAGTTTGGAGGACACATTAAAGTACAGCAAGAAGAGAAAGAGACTAAACACAGTCGGCCTTCAGAGATTTACCAACACATCTTCTACAAAAACAGTCCAAAGACAGCTGATAAAAGGACAGAGACACTCTGTGGTTTTAGAAAGAGGAACTCAAACTAAATCAAGAACCTAACAGAGCTGTTGACTTTAAAGAAGCACTGTACACTTTCTTTCTGAGGTGTCATCAGCTGCAGGAGAAACGTGAGCGTAGATCTTTTTAATGACGATCCGCAGCTCCGTGTTTACACCGAGGACACGCTCCATATGTCTCTGTCAGGACGTTCTGCCATCGCCGCTCTTTTCTCTCCTCAGCAGCTGAATCAGCTTCACGTTAAAACACAGAAACCACATGAGCTTCCCCGCAGCACCCGAAGGTCGTCGCTCACCACCCTCCCAGAAACATCAACCTCAGAGCTTCCTGCACCCTTCTAGTTTCATCCGTCCGGGATGTTTGATGGACTTCATGGTCCTCAAAGGGTGAACCTCGGAGATTTCCAGGAGTTTTTCTTGACAATACAGAAAAGCTCTTCCTCTAATCGTAACATTAAATTGTCCACATCAAGTAAACATCACATAAAACGTCATTTTAAATCAATTTCCAGGTGTTTTCCTGACTGGAAATATAGTCTTAATTGATGTATTTGGTGCCTCCCTGGCCTCCCTTTAACGTCCCCAACAGGACCAAATCTACATAACAAATACCAAAATGTAAAGGGGAGATTGATGCACCAATTCCATTTAGAATTTCATGATCCAACGACATTTTATTTACTGCCACCCTGAGGGCAAACTTTACACTTTCATCCCCACTATTGGTGAACATCGCAGCCGCTAACGTAATGGTACGGCTCTCAGTCTAACCCTAACCCCGAACCCCCGAACCCTAATGTTTATATGATTTCCGCCCTACTCTATAATTCTTACTACCAACTATCATATGAACTGTATAAAGAACATGTCCATAATGTCCACTGTGTAGAATTTAGTGATATCTAGTGGAGAAGTTGCACATTACAACCATTTAAACCCCGTCTACAGCAAGTTTTTGGGATACTGTAGAAACATGGCAGACGCTGTAGATAAAAAGGTCTCATTCTAAGGTTACAAAAACAACCAAGCTTATTTTCAGGCATCTAAACACTAATGAAATCATACCTATGAATATTATATTAGATTTCTGACAATAGATCCTCCTCAATGTTTCACTCCGGAGATTTCAAACCTTTTGTTGCTGTTGCACTGAAATATGTGTCTGCCGATGGTGGAAAATGTCAAAGCTAGAGACGACAACATAACATCATATAACAATCTGACTGACTATCTGTAATCATCTGTAATCATCTTCACCAGCTCTGGAACTCAACATGGAAACATTTCACAGAATCCGACCCTGCTCTGAACAACATCACATAATGAGACAACTCACAAGGGCCCTCCATTCACTGATGAAATGACGTCAGAATGAAAAGCTTCAGAAGTGAGTTGACCTTGAGGTAAGATCAAACAATAATTTTACTTTGACAAGACAAGTCCACTCCATTTAATATGTGATAATAGCTTAAATATCTGTTCTGCAGCTTTCAAACATGAACCAGTTTCTGTTTTCAGTCACAAATGAACTTTGAAACTAATGATAACCCGTAGCTGCCTGAGAGGTACAACAATAACCAGTAGCCCTGAGAACCGAATTACTTTTGGTCAAAACTCTCAAAACAGTTGGTGGAAATGCGGCCCCTTTTCCACCTAATTAGTTCTTGTTCTTGAACCAGTTCCTATCAAGCAAACCAGCCCGAGTTTCCACCAGTTTAAAGTGGAACCATTGTAATCGAGGACGCTGCTATTTTCTGGTTCCAGTTGCAACCTTTTGGGTTCTGAACTGATTTATTATTGGGTGTCGGTTCCCTGTAGGTGTGAAAAGCCAATCAATGATTGATCATCGCATATTTTATCTCCCTATTTTCGTCATGTGAGCGTACCACTTAGTAAAGTGTTAAAGTCTTTAAAGACACGCATTCAAAGCTTTTTGCTACTTTTAAGGCAAACTGCTGAGTTTTGTAGTAAAGTTTTGTTTTGTGGACGGAAGAAAACGACAGATTGATCAATCTGCAAAAGCTCTATAAAACTAAAATGCCTTTTCTAGTTAACGGCAACACTGCGAGGTAGCGGAGACGGTGTGATTATCTGCCGTAAACGCGGGTGCAGAAATCTACCCGACACTCTGCCAGAGCTCTAAACTTCCCAAGTACATAGAGATGATTTATGAGTTAATTAGTGAGGTTGATGTATGCGCTGTATGTCGTTAAGAGCAGTGAAAGGTGCTGAGATGGGAGGAAAACTGAGGAGAGATGAGATGGAAAGAGGAAGGAAAGACAAAAGTATAGATAAGGAGAAACAATGGCGGATTAAAGAAAACAGGGAACGTAAAGAAAGAAGAAGAAAAGATGGTGCAAGACAAGAAGAGATAAGGAAAGAAAAGACACAGGAGCTGGGGGAAACAGGAGAGAAGAGAATAAAGGAAGATTTAGGTAATAGAAAAGAGAGAAAATAGTCAGTAAATAAGATCCAGGCTGAGTTGTGGGATGCGGAGGTGTATTGGCCTTTCAGCCTCCAACACTCATAAACCCAGCGAGGATATAAAAGTGAGGGACAGTGCCACTAAAGA